CTTCTTACTTCTATACAGCCTATAACTGAGATACAAAAACGTTATCACGGATGTAAAAAATAAGATGTCACAACAAAAGCCTAACAAGCCCGAAGGCTGCAGTACTATCAACATTTTACCAATTACAGTCGGCTTACTTTCTGTCAATTCCCTTGTCTAGTTAAAGTGAACGGTACTTTAATTTACTCCTTAGAAATTCATAACAAGAACAGACTGCGATTATGCATGCGTCATGCTAAAATTGTAATTATATAGAGTTAATAAATGCATGTGTAGTTAGCGTATGCACAGGCTATCAGTCATCCATCCATGTAATTAATAAAGCGCACAGCAGGTGGCCCTAGCTGCTCCATTAATCTGGTAGCGTGTAAGATAAACCAAATGTTAGAAATTACTCATGTGTGAAGCTGCTAACATGTTTATGGTAATCTTGAGGTAATTAACCACAAAAATGTGCCAAGTGCTAGTTATACCCTTAGTTTAAACTGTACTTTGTTTGGACAGAGCAAACTTTGACCACTTTCTGCATGGATTAGGCCAGGGTGCTTACATGCTGCTAATCCGGCATGTCTAATTGTCCGAGTAGCGGCATAAATGTTTGTTTTAAGCGTCCCACTACATCAACATTTTTTTATAATTTTTTTATTTTAAGTATGCACTTCACTATTTTTCAAACATTCCTTTTTTCGACATGAATAATATTAACACGATAGCCTGTTATACTTCACGCTCCCATAGATCATAAGATGCTGGGGCCGGTGTAACGCTCTTCATCAGAGAATACTTCAGCCACATAGGATATTGGACAGTGGGAAAGTGTAACTGAACTTAACTCTACACTCGCGTAGAGTGTCAAAAAATAGGATGGATCTTCTTTACTGAAATCTCCGAGCGCATGACACGCTGCTGCATAAGCGCATCTAGCGTGTACAGTGGAGCTGCCCTCATTCACTTTCCATGCATTCTAAAAGTTACAAAAAGGTCCAGTTTTTACGCTTGCGTAGGGTGAAATACGCATGCAGCAGAGCCAGGCCCTAAACATCTAGCCTACCGATGTGGTGCAAAACATCCAGACAGAAGCGCGAAAGCCGTTTGGTTGGTTATATGTTGTTTTGAGCTGTCTGTCCTTCGCACATTTGGCTCTTCCTGGGGAAAGCGCTTCTCGGGCCGTGGCACCAAACACCGCTCCCCGACCTGAATCGGAGCTGCTCCCGCTGGTTCTGGACTCTGGTTTGGATCGCTATTCCCCAGTTTGTATGGGCGTATCCCCATGCATAACGACAAACCGAGATGACAAAAAAGCCGGTAGCAGCTGAATTGTGTTTTCTTCCGGTCGATGTAAATATGTTTGTGTCTCTGTCCAATCAGAACCTTCCCCAGACGTTGAGCGGAATTAAATAAAGACGACTTAACATGTTTTCCATGTAAACCTCAATTTGGAATTAATATTTCGATTTAAACTTGTTAGGTTTATCTAAACATTGTAAACAAGAAGAAAGACAAGAGATTAATTCAGTTTTACTCGCGAGGAGAACGGGCAGAGAGTGGGCATCAAAACCAACAGTCTCCACACGTTCTGATGACTCAAGGCCGTTCTCCTCTTTTTATTTCATTAGGAGGCCCTAGTTACAGAACGATAATTCTCAAGGGGAAGGGGAAACAGCAAAGACATAATAAGAACAATCAGGAGGTGCCTTAGGTCAGACACCATCATAACTCTTGCATGTGTGACAGTGGAAGTTGGCTTCATGTGAGGAATCATCTCGAGGTTCACTAGAGCGATAGGACACTGCACACAGTTGTCAAACACACAGAGGTTATTCATTTTCATACAAGTGATTGGTACATTATAAATCAAAGAATTGTAGTACATAAATGGTTAACTCATAGGCATAGAATATCACACAAGTATTTAGCAAATATGGGATAATAAAATTATTCTGACAAAACTCAAAGGAGAAGAATTTAATTTAAAAAAAAACTCTCCGGTTCTATGCGATAAATTCTATGCATAAACGACCCAATTGACCAAGAAAAAGGCAATTAGAGCTGAAAGGCGACAAGTTTGCAGGTATGATAGCGACGTCTAAATAAAGGCATGTCGTAATGAAGGGATGTCGGAATAGCAATACTAAAAAGTGTCAGAAAACCAGCACTTCCAAATAGAGGCAGTCGTGGTTTAGTCTTAGTTTTGTCCTAGTTTAGATCAAATTTGTCAAATATAGGGACATTTCTTGTATAAAACTTGAACAAATCAGTGGTTTTGTATAAATTTGCTGGGGCAGGGGACACGGGGCTCAAAACTGGGACTGTCCCGGGTCAACAGGGACATCTAGTCACCCTAGAGTAGGCGAATGTTAGCTTTCAGTGCTATTTAGGCTACTAACTTGCTAAAACATGTTATTGTAGTTTTAAAGACATTCTGATTTAATGTATTTTTTGTTGTCGTGTTGTTACAGAAAGCTGCATGTTGTTACTTTACTCATTTAAGTGGGTGGATACTGGTAAAAACGGTTAACTAAACACAGGAAAGCTAAACGGGCTAACTAGCTAGCTTCTGCCATTAGCACGAGTGTTTACTGGATTTTTCAGTCGTAATAAAACATCCACCGCCTTTGGTTCTTTTGCTAAACATGTTGCTAATTTGCTGAAGTTTAAGGGTAATAAAATCCTTGTTTAAATGTCAGGAATAAGGAGGCTACTGCTCATTTTGGTCTAGTTAAACATGTTTTCTTTTAGTTAATCCTGTGTGTTTTGAGTTAATGCTTCCAGTTAGCCCAGTATGTGTAATTTAGACTATTTATTTCTTTTTGTTTTAGTACTGCAAATTAATATGTGCTTGATTCAATACATTCACAACATCTACAGTTATTTGGTCTAAAAACAAGTTTAAAGGGCCAATATTACACAGTTTTTTGATGTTTTAATGTTGTTTCCTCATCACAAACAGACCTGGAGTTGTGTTTTGTTTTATTCACATGTTTAACACACAAAATCTGCATATTTAGACTGAGTTCTTCTCTCAAACGGAAAACGCTGTTCCACCTTGTGATGTCATCTAGTAATACAGGAAGTGCTCCATTGTGTTTTTCAATTCCATACACCTTCACTAGAATCATTTGGATAATTTCAGCTCTGGTAGCGTATAGAAGTAGTTTTGGTTTAATCTGAGCTTTTATGATCAGCAGAAGCAAATAGTGATTTTTATTTTATATTTGATGTAAAAGGAAATCACAATGTTGAGCCTGGAGTTTGCATGTGTCCGGCGGAGTGTCACAATACTCGATTTCAATACTAAGAGACAGATTTTTATTCTATACCAGAGTTGGGGACTTGCAAGTGGTGATTTGGACTCGAGTCAGACTTGAGTCACTATTGTTAGGACTTCAGACTTGACTTGATAAAATGGACTAAGACTCTGGACTCGACTTGGACTTGAAGGTCAGTGACTTGGGACTCGGACTTGAGGCCTGTGACTTGAGAAGCACTTTTAAATCTGAATTATTTATATTCTGATTGTAATGATTCACTCTAAGACAGGGGTGTCCAAACTTTTTTCATCAAGGGCCACAGATCTAAACACAGATGAAGCAGAGGGCCGATCGAGGACTGTAAACTGGTGCTCATTGCAGTGAATAATTTAAATATGTGCATGTTTGACACGTTACAATGAGCCATCAGTCTTTATTCATGCTAAGATCCTTAAAACCACACACTAAATATCAAATATCGGCAGCTTTATCCAGGTAGATTTTCAAAAAACTTGCAATAAATAGGTAATTTTGGCCTCCTGGAAGCCTGAGGGCCAAGAAAAAATTGTCTGAGGGCCGCATTTGGCCCACGGGCCATAGTTTGGACATGTCTGCTCTAAGATCTTGTCAAGACATTTTAAAAGGAAAAATTAACTAAATTCATTTCTACAACTCATATACTTTATAAATACTCATATATATTGTAAATATACTATGATTTTTTAAGTACAATTTATCTTAAAGGTCATGTAAATTGCAAAAGTCTAAGCTTTATTTGGTACTTTGATTTAAAGACTTGAAGCTCAAAGCAGACGACTTGGACTTATGGGCCAGTGACTCGAGACTTGACTTGGACTTGCCTTTATTTAACTTGGGACTTGACTCGGACTTGAGGTCAAAGACTTGAGACTTACTTGAGACTTGCAAAACAAAGACTTGGTCCCATCTTTGTCCGATACGACAAAGTTAATTAAAAATACTCTTTCTTTAGGCTATAGAATGTTATTTTCAACATCGTACTTTATATCTGTGTAATCCCTTTGTCGTTCTCGAATCAGACTTTAATTGACTAGGAATTGAGAATTGACTTGTTAAAATGGGCTAAGACTTGGGACTCGACTTGGACTTGAAAGGTCAGTAACTTGAGAAGACTTGAGAAGCACTTTTAAATCTTAATTCCTTCTATTCTGACCATTATGATTCACACTAAGATCTTGTCAAGACATTTAAAAAGGAAAAAAATAACTAAATTAATTTCTACATCTCTTATATACTCTATACAATTTATCTTAAAGGTCATGTAAATTGCAAAAGTCTAAGCTTTATTTGGTACTTTGGTTTAAAGACTTGAAGCTCAAAGGAGACGACTTGGACTTGACTTGGACTTATGGGCCGGTGACTCGAGACTCGACTTGGACTTGCCTGCATTTGACTTGGGACTTGACTCGGACTTGAGCTCAAAGACTTGAGACTTGCAAAACAAAGACTTGGTCCCATCTTTGTCCGATACAACAAAGTTAATTAAAAATACTCTTTCTTTAGGCTATAGAATGTTATTTTCAGCATCGTACTTTATATCTGTGTAACCCCTTTGTCGTTTTGGTACGTTCCATAATGAGTATCTAGTTTCGATTCTAGTTTTGGCATCAATTCGTATCTGATTTTCGATACTTTCCACAACCCTCGTCCTATCACTGTACATTCTTCTGATACTTAATTCTCTTCTTTTCTTTTTTTTTGTCTCTGCAGGCTCCGACTACTCTCCGCCCCCGCCCTTGCAGCGTGCCCCTCCGGCCGGGCTGACCAACGAGCACAGCGGAGGGGGGGACCATGGCGGCGGAGGGGTCAACCACGGGGGCCTGGGGGGCGTGGTCGGGCTAGCTCCGGAGCACATCCCCACTCCCGGAGCCGCTCTGAGCTGGCAGGCGGCCATCGATGCGGCGAGACAGGCCAAGATGATGGGCAACGCGGCGTCCGGCGGAGGGTCGGGGCTCGGCGCGGGAGGGGGCGGTCCCATCTCCACGGCGAGCTCCACGCAGAGGAAGAGACAGCACTACGCCGCCAAGCCCAAAAAACAGACCACGACCACAGCCACACGACCGCCCCGCGCACTGCTCTGTCTCACACTGAAAAACCCCATCCGAAGGGCCTGCATCAGCATCGTCGAGTGGAAGTATCCTTTAATGCACTCAGACGCTGTACTTACTGTTTATCCATACTTTGCAGTGCAGTGACATCGTGCTGGGGGTGTTCTACATGTGTCTCATGGGTGGAATGTTCAGCAATTACCACGAAGAGACAATGCACTCAAAGTCACACTGTCAAAAAAAGTTTTAAGATGGTTTGAAAACTCATGACAAAATATAAAATGGATTTAAACAACACATTCTGACAAGTCGGAATAGCGGTACTAAAAAGTGTCGGAAAATCGGGAGGCACGTCGTAATGAAAAATTAAATTTCTAAACTGGGACACACCTGGATTGGGATGTTTGGTAGAAATACATTTTTTGAAAAGGGTGTGTAACATTGTGCATTCTCATGTCAGTCAGTTTAGACCTGGTTTAGTCCTGGTTTAGACCGGGTTTAGTCCTGGTTTAATCCTGGTTTAGACCTGCTTTAGACCTTGTTTAGACCTGGTTTAGTTCTGGTTTAGACCTGGTTCAGTCCAGGTTCAGCTCTGGTTCACTTCTAGTTTAGTCCTGGTTTAGTCCTGATTTAGTCCTGATTTAGTCCTGGTTTAGTTCTGGTTTAGTCCTGGTTTAGACCTAGTTTAGACCTGGTTTAGTCCTGGTTTAGACCTGGTTTAGTTTTGGTTTAGACCTGATTTAGACCTGGTTTAGTCCTGGTTTAAACCTGGTTTAGACCTGGTTTAGTCCTGGTTTAGACCTGGTTTAGTCCTGGTTTAGTCCTGGTTTAGTCCTGGTTTAGACCTGGTTTAGTCCTGGTTTAGACCTGGTTTAATTTTGGTTTAGTCCTAGTTTAGACCTGGTTTAGTTCTGGTTTAGTCCTGGTTTAGTCCTGGTTTAATCTTGGTTTAAATCTGGTTTAGTCCTGGTTTAGACCTGGTTTAGTCCTGGTTTAGACCTGGTTTAGTCCTGGTTTAGACCTGGTTTAATCTTGGTTTAGACCTGGTTTAATTTTGGTTTAGTCCTGGTTTAGACCTGGTTTAGTCCTGGTTTAGACCTGGTTTAGTCCTTGTTTAGTCTTGGTTTAGACCTGGTTTAGTCTTGGTTTAGACCTGGTTTAGTTCTGGTTTAGTCCTGGTTTAATCTTGGTTTAAATCTGGTTTAGTCCTGGTTTAGTCCTGGTTTAGTTCTGGCTTAGTCCTGGTTTAGTCCTGGTTTAGCCTTGGTTTAGTCCTGGTTTAGACCTGGTTTAGACCTGGTTTAGTCTGGTTTAGACCTGGTTTAGTCCTGGTTTAGACCTGATTTTAACAAAAACTTTCCGTAGAAATGTTTCAGCCTTTATATATATTTTTTTTAACCGTATCGAAACATTTTGAAATATATCTTATCGAATCGTATCAAATCGAACGTTCACTGTATCGAGGTCCGTATCGTATCGGCAACTTTTGAAGCTTTTACATTTGACTCGACTCTTTCAGCTGAGGGATTTTTCAAACCCAAGTCCCTCCAAAGCCGCGCGGACAAACCCACATTTTTTATTTTTCTCTGGTCCCTTGTTCTCGGTTCCATTCAGTGATTATTTCTTTCAAAATCGTATGAAAAGTGACATTTTATCCGTCTCCGACACCTCTCCGCTGCATATTTATCTGACATAACTCTTTTCTAACTGCCTAATCCTCCTTCCCCGCGGTCCAACACGTCCCCTCTCCCCGTCCCTCTCCCTCTCTCCTCCTCGCACTCGTCTGTCAAACGTCTTTATTCCCGCTGTTCCTCTGCCTGTTCCTTTCATTCAATCCCTCTTTCCCCCTCCTGAGTTTTTCTCCCCGTTTTCCTGTAAGCCGCTCAACATAATGACTGGGCTTCCCCTCGGGCCGCGGTGCAGGGATGGAGAGAGAGAGAGAGGGAGAAAGAGAGAAAGAGGGAGAGAGACAAAGAGGCGCAGAGAGGAAGAGAGAAAGAGGAGAGGAGGAGAGACAGAGAGGGAGAAAGAGAGAAAGAGGGAGAGAGACAAAGAGGCGCAGAGAGGAAGAGAGAAAGAGGAGAGGAGGAGAGACAGAGAGAGAGAGAGAGAGAGAGAGAAAGAGGAGAGGGAGAGAGAGAAAGAGGGAGAGAAATAGGGAGGGAGAAAGTGATGAAGAGAGAGAGAGAGGGAGAAAGAGGGAGAGAGGCAGAGAGACAAAGAGGTGCAGAGAGGAAGAGAGAAAGAGGAGAGGAGGAGAGACAGAGAGGGAGAAAGAGAGAAAGAGGAAGAGAGAAAGAGAGGAGAGAGGAGAGAGAGAAAGAGGGAGAAATAGGGAGGGAGAAAGTGATGAAGAGAGAGAGAGAGGGAGAAAGAGGGAGAGAGACAAAGAGGCGCAGAGAGGAAGAGAGAAAGAGGAGAGGAGGAGAGACAGAGAGGGAGAAAGAGAGAAAGAGGAAGAGAGAAAGAGAGAGGGAGAGAGAGAAAGAGAGAGAAAAGGAGAAGAGTGAGAAAGAGAGAGAGAGGAGAAAGAGGAGAGAGACAAAGAGGCAGAGAGGAAGAGAGAGAGAGAGGAGGAGAGACAGAGAGGAGAGAGAGAAGAGGCAGAGAGAGAGGTGCAGAGAGGAAGAGAGAAAGAGGAGAGGAGGAGAGACAGAGAGGGAGAAAGAGAGAAAGAGGAGAGAGACAAAGAGGTGCAGAGAGGAAGAGAGAGAGGAGAGGAGAGACAGAGAGGGAGAAAGAGAGAAAGAGGCAGAGAGACAAAGAGGTGCAGAGAGGAAAAGAGAAAGAGGAGAGGAGGAGAGACAGAGAGAGGGAGAGAGAGAGAAAGAGGGAGAGAGACAAAGAGGTGCAGAGAGGAAGAGAGAAAGAGGAGAGGGAGAGAGAGACAGAGAGAGAGAGAGAGAGAGAAAGAGGGAGAGAGAGAGAAGGAGGGAGAGAGACAAAGAGGCGCAGAGAGGAAGAGAGAAAGAGGAGAGGAGGAGAGACAGAGAGGAGAGAGAGAGGGAGAGAGACAAAGAGGCGCAGAGAGAGAGAGAGAGAGAAAGAGGAGAGGGAGAGAGACAAAGAGGCGCAGAGAGGAAGAGAGAAAGAGGAGAGGAGGAGAGACAGAGAGAGGGAGAGAGAGAGAAAGAGGGAGAGAGACAAAGAGGCGCAGAGAGGAAGAGAGAAAGAGGAGAGGAGAGAGAGAGAGAGAGAGAGAAAGAGGGAGAGAGACAAAGAGGTGCAGAGAGGAAGAGAGAAAGAGGAGAGGAGAGAGAGACAGAGAGAGGGAGAGAAAGAGAGAAGAGAGGGAGAGAGACAAAGAGGCGCAGAGAGGAAGAGAGAAAGAGGAGAGGGAGAGAGAGAAAGGGGGAGAGAAATAGGGAGGGAGAAAGTGATGAAGAGAGAGAGAGAGGGAGAAAGAGAGAAAGAGGGAGAGAGACAAAGAGGCGCAGAGAGAAGAGAGAAGAGGAGAGGAGGAGAGACAGAGAGGAGAGAGAGAGAGAAAGAGGGAGAGAGACAAAGAGGCGCAGAGAGGAAGAGAGAAAGAGGAGAGGGAGAGAGAGAAGGGGAGAGAAATAGGAGGGAGAAAGTGAGAAGAGAGAGAGAGAGGGAGAAAGAGAGAGAGAGAGAGAAGACAAAGAGGCGCAGAGAGAAAGAGAGAAAGAGGAGAGGGAGAGAGAGAAGGGGGAGAGAAATAGGGAGAGAAAAGATGAAGAGAGAGAGAGAGGAGAAAGAGGGAGAGAGACAAAGAGCGCAGAGAGGAGAGAAGAAAGAGGAGAGAGAGAGAAGGGGGAGAGAAATAGGGAGGGAGAAAGTGATGAAGAGAGAGCGATGGAAAGAGAGACAGAGAGGGGGGAGAGTGAGAGAGAGAAAGAGAAGGAGAGAGAGGGCGAGACAAAGAGTGAGAGAAAGAGGGGGAGAAAGAGAGACAAAGAGAGGATTAGAGAGGGAGAAAGGGAGAGAGAAAGTGAAAGAGAGAGAGGCAGAGAAAGAGAGACGGAGGTGCGTAGTGAGAGAGAAAGAGGAGAGAGGGGGTAGAGCGAGAGAGAGAAGGAGAGAGATGGAGGGAAAGAGAAACACGGAGAGGGAGAGATGACAGACAAAGAGAGAAAGTAAAGGGGGCAAAGGGAGATGAAGAGGAATATAGACAGAGAGAGGGAAGGAGAGAAGGTAGAGAAAGGGAGATAGAGGTAGCGAGAGAGAGAGAGAGAGAGAAAGAAAGAGATGATAGAGAGATTAGAGTGAGAGAAAGGGAGAGAGAAAGTGATAGAGAGAGAGAGGGAGGAGAAAAGAGGAGAGACTAAGAGAGAGTAAAGGGGACAAAGAGACAGAGAGATATACTGTAGATAGAGGGGGGAGGGAGAAGAGAGAGACAAAGGGAGGTAGAGGCAGAGAGAGGGGGAGAACGAGAGACAGAAAGAGAGGATAGAGAGATTAGAGAAAGGGAGAGAGAATGTGATAGAGAGAGAGGGAGGTAGACAGACAGACGGGGGGGGGGTAGAGAGAAACGGAGACAAAGGGAGACAGAGAGATATACTGTAGATAAAAAGGGAGGGAGAAGAGAGAGAAAGGAAGATGGATGTAGAGGGAGAGAGAGAAACAGAAAGGGAGGGTAGAGAGAGAAAGGGAGAGAGATATACTGTAGATAGAAAGAGAGGGAGAGGAGAGAGACAAAGGGACAGGAAGGGAGGGGAGAGAAAGAGAAAGGGATAGAGACAGATAAAGGGAGAGAGGAGAGACAAAGAGAGAGAAAAAGGGACAAAGGGAGACAGAGGATATAGATAGAGATTCTCAGTCCCGGTCTCAGTTCTGTCTCAGTTCTGGTCTCAGTTCTGGTCTGGTCCCGGTCTCAGTCCTGATCACCTGACAGTCTATGTGGGTGTAACTCTGGGCCCGTCTTGACAGTCAGTCCTGGTTCAGTCCTGACCTGGTTTAGACCTGGTTTAGACCTGGTTTAGTCCTGGTTCAGTCCTGGTTCAGTCCTGGTTCAGTCCTGACCTGGTTTAGTCCTGGTTCAGTCCTGGTTCAGTCCTGGTTCAGTCCTGACCTGGTTTAGACCTGGTTTAGTCCTGGTTCAGTCCTGGTTCAGTCCTGGTTCCTG